GAGAGGCAGTGAGAGAATCTGCCCTCTTCATGGAGGGGCCGGGGGTTAGATTCCCAGCACCCCATGCATAATAATCGCCTGTCTGTCAGCTGCTGGGAGCACTGAGCAGGTCCCAGCAGAGATTCCTGAAGGAAACAGACGAGGAACAAAGGTCAGGCAATCCGCTCGGAACAGCATGAACCACAATGGTCTGATCCCCTTGTGTATGGGATCACCATGCGTCCGGGTGTGATTTGGCGGCGGCAGCTCATGACAGCAAGCATTGATGATGGCTGCTCCTTCCACTAGCAGGCAGTGGCAGTCTAAAGACTGGCATTTGGTGACCCCTAAATTGACCAGGAGCTCTGGTGGCATCATGGCTATGTGTTATGTCCTTGGCTCCTTGGGAGAAACATGGGGCTTTCTACGCCCATAAACAGTTATAGTCTCGGAAACTCGGGGGGCAGTTCTCCCCTGTCCTATGGGGTCTCCATGAATCGGCGTCGCCTCGATGGCAGGGAGGGAGTTTGAGTAAATCCCTCTGGGCAGCAGTTCCAGCCTGGAGTATCCCTCTTCCTTTCATGCCCACAAGTGACTGAATAGACCTGGCACCCTCCCCCTATAGGGCTTCCTAAGCTATAATCTTGCCAGGAGAAGATCGCCACGTCTTTCTTCTGCTCGGTGGGTTCGAACCGCCAACCTTTGGGTCAGCAGCTGTGTGCTCAGCCACTGTGCCACCCAGGCTCCTTGTGTACACACGCTGGGGCAGAAGGGTTAAGGCAAGGCTTCTCCTAGGGTTGGTGGCCGTTGGCAGGGCACTGACCAGTCCCAGCTCTACGAGCAATGCCCTCCCAGGAAGCAAACAAGGCGAAGAGAGACGTTTGAGGTATAAAGTGGGAAGAGCTGCACAGTGCAGGGCCACCCACACTGCTCTTTGGGGTGGGACCATGGATCCCTTCATGTTGCATGTGCTTCCGGACTATCCAGTGGCCTGGCACAGTACCCAGAGCAAGCAATACCCTGGTTTAAGCCCCACCGGTGCCCCTCGATGGCTGTCACCTAAGCACCTGAGCCTTCTTTCCCATGGAGTGAGTGAAGGTCCTCGGGTGGCCCCCAAAGGTCAGTGGTTCAAATCCGCCCAGAGGCACAGTGGGAAAAAGGCCTGGCCACCTGCTTCCATAAATAGACCAGGCACGGAATCCACTGGGGCCGCTCCACCCTGTAAGACCTGGGAGTCCCTGGTGGGTCAGGATCCGCCGGACCGCCTCAGGGTTGATGTGGGATCTGGGTGGTGGCTCGAGACGCTTGGAACAAGGTTCAGAGAGCGCCTGGCAGGCATGTTGTCACCGGAAGTCACTCATGTACCAAGGAACATTGTTGGAATTGAAGGAACAAGAAAGGTAAATCAAAGTGTCTCTGTTCTCCTGGGGCTCCCAGGAGAGTGGGGGAGGCAGAAACACGCACACACATGAGTAACTTTTAATACAAGGCAGGCAGTGATGAGAGCGACAACCGGAAGCCCAAACAGTGCATTGGAAGAACGGGGGAGGGAGTGCTTCTAAGCCTGAGCACAGGGGAACTCAGAGAGATGGGCTGGGGGTTAACCTGGGAGGGAGGGAGGTAGACGAAGTTCCTGGTAGCACTGACCTCTCCCCCTGCATTCAGCACAGAGCTCCCCACAGCACACCCTAGCGTGCCCCCAAGTCCTCCCCAGGGCCCTTCCGTGCTCCCCTCACCCTTGCAATGGTGCTTCCTAATCTGTTCCACCACATATGCACCTTGTCACCTTTCCAGACTGGTGGGAAAGGCAGTGCTCATCACTGGGGGTCTGAGGCACCCCAAGTCTCACAGTCAGCACGCCATAACATGCTCTACAGCACAGAGCCGAGTGGGAGAGGGGAGAGGGGCCAGAGTAGCCAAGGTCCCATCCCGGCCCCCACCTTATCCACACTCACTCCCGCCCAGGTCCGGGTGCCTTCCCCTGCACCCCATCTCTCTGTGCATGTCAGCCTCTGCCTTTTATCTTCTGCCCTAGCTCTCCGGGACTCCCTGGTATCTGTCCCGCCAGCTCTGTCTTGGTGGCCTCTCTGGATCTGTCTGCCTGAGGCCCTGCGCTCTCTTGTCTTGGCCGCTTCCCCTCCAGTCTCAGTCTTGCTCTGCAGTGCCCTCTGCCTCTGTGTGGGCTGTCTGTCTTTGTCTCCATTTCTCCTTGTCATTCGCGCCTCGGTTAGTCTTACCTCGTGTGTGTGTGTGTGTGTGTGTGTGTGTGTGTGTGTGTGTGTGCAGCTCAGTTTTTCTCTGCCTGTCTTCACAATGGCTGTTTAAGAGTTCACCACATCTGTGATGGTGTCTGAAGGCAGGGAGGGAGAGAGATCAAAGCAGGTGGGAATTCATTTAAAAACATGCGCGGCTGAACCAAGCTCACCCCAGACCGGAGCCGCTGGGGGCCAGCCCGCTTGTCTGACGTCTGCGATGATGGGGAGCTGGCCTGCTTTCACTTTCTGCCCGTGGTCAGGCTCTTCCTGACTCTGCCCCCACCCCCAGAGCTGGTTCCCCAGCCCCACCCTGTGGGAGCCGTTTCCTTGCATTTCTGGTCGCTGGTTTTGTCTCCTGAACATGGCCTCAGGGACTGGGATGGAACAGAAATCTCCCTTCTGGTTCTAGTGCAGGCTCTGCTTTGCACCATGGTCTGTGGGAGGCTCGGTGGCCAGCGGGGCCTTGGGCAGCCTGTGCTCCGATGTGTGTGTCCCGTTAGCCTCCTGTTACTGGGTTTACGTGGGGCAGGGATGGTTGGCTGGTAGAACTGTTACCTTCCACACCAGAGACCGGGGTTCGATTCTCAGCACAGGTACCTCATGCGTCATCACCACCCAGCAGTCAGAGAAGGCATGGGCACTGGTAGGATACTGAACTGGTTTCAGAGGACCTTCTAGATCAGTGGTTCTCAACCTTCCTAATGCCACAACCCATTAATAGTTTCTCATGTTGTGGTGACAGCACCCCCCCCCCATACAATTATTTTCATTGCTACTTCATAACTGTCATTTTGCTACTGTTATGAATCAGGCAATCCTGTGAAAGGGTCGTTCAACCCTCAAAGGGGCGGGTCCTCAAACTTTTTAAACAGAGAGTCAGTTCACTGTCCCTCAGACCCATTGAAGGGCCGGGCTATAATTAAAAAAACTATGAACAAATTCCT